TATGTTTGTCTTGTCGAGAGATGGAGATGGTGGAGATGGGGAGGAGGAGGTGAAGGGAGGGGGAAGTGATGGAGAAAGAGAAGAGGAGGAGAAGGGTAAAAAGGAGAAGAGGTGAAGGGAAGGGGGAAGTGATGGTGAAAGAGAAGAGAAAGAGATGGATAAAGAGAAGAGGAGGTGAAAGGGAGGAAGAAGTGGCGGGGAAAGGGAAGAGAAAGAGATGGATAAATAAAAGAGGAGGTGAAGGGGAGGGAGAAAGGATGAGAAAGAGAAGAGAAAGCGATGGATAACGAAAAAGAGGAGGTAAAGGGGAGGGGGAAGGAATGGAGAAAGTGATGGATAAAGAGAAGAAGAGGAAGTAGAGCGGAAGGGAACAGCGTAGACATTATAAAGTAATGCGAGCGTAGTGAACACCGGCCAAATATCTATAGTTTTTTAGCCATTGAAAATTTCCCTTTTATTGATTTTATTAAAATTCAACGTATTTTCAATTGCTCCTTCGATCTGAGCACTTTAGAAATATATCTATAGATATATTTCCAAAGTGCTGCTTTGAGCTTCAGAATTTAATTACCTATCGTTATTATTGCGGAACCCCAAATAAAGTGCCTTATACATTTTCATTAATTGAGATTGAAAAGTTTTCACTTTAAAGTTGAATTTAAGCGTTCGTATATATTCCGATTATATCCTTGAAATTTTTAAATGTTATTTTTGATATCCAAGTGCATGCGATAGTGCGTGATTTTGATTAACCAAAGAAATGCCTGCACGTTATCCTGCAAATCCATAAAATAAGTTCCCAACGTTGACGGATGAACCAAACGTCCGACTTTTGGTTCACTTGGTTCATTTGGCTCACGGTTCTGCACCTCAATGGTTTTTTTACTTCAGTAAATGCGATATGTTCTCTTCACAACTGATGTCCTTAAATAAATTACAAATAATCAACAAACGCTTGTCCCAGCCAAGGTTTTAGAAACGCTGAACAGTTAACAAACTAATGGTGAAACTGTGGAGCATGAATCTACTCACAAGTGCCTGAATCTATTTACTAGTGCCTGGATCTACTTACTAGTGCCTGGATCTACTTAATAGTGCCTGGATCTACTTACTAGTGCCTGGATCTACTTAATAGTGCCTGGATCTACTTACTAGTGCCAGAATCTACTTACCAGTGCCTGGATCTACTTACTAGTGCCTGGATCTACTTACTAGTGCCTGGATCTACTTACTAGTGCCTGGATCTACTTACTAATGCCTGGATCTACTTTCTAGTGCCAGAATCTACTTACTGTGTCTGGATCTAATAACTAGTGCCAGTATCTACTTAGTAGTGTCTGGATCTACTTACTGCATGGTGCCTAGATTTCCTAACTATTATCTGGATCATGTTCTACTGGATCATGTTTACGTGTCATGATCTACTTATTAGTGTCTGGATCTACTTACTATAGTGTCTGAATCTAATTTCTACATATAGTGCCTAGTTCTACTGATCTATATCTCAACTCAATTAGTGACCAGCGTGGAATTCTAGGTAGAAGTGGCTGAACAATTTCACAAATTTGGTAAGTATTGCTTTGCCGTTCAGATTAATAAAATTTTCAGATTAATAAAATTAGCCGTTCAGATTAATAAAACTTTTACTCTCCACCGAGATCTTCATGTGTTATTTTTACCTTTCCTCATATTCATTTCTGTAATTACATTCAACTTACTACTAATTTTGAACTCCAATTTTCGTTAGCAATCAACTTCAATTTCTATGATAGCTAAGTTTGATTTTTTGGCGCGTATCAAATTACTACGATTCAATCATAACTATCATTACGCTGTTTTTGGAGCGCTGAAAATTTTACAGATAGTCATTTTTTAAGAACTTGTGAAGGAGGATTGACCAGTGTACAGTTTTGGCCTTGTTAAACAGTCGTGAAATGGTTTCACTTGTTACCAAAATTCAAATTGAATTTAGGCCGTATCCTTAAAAATAATTTGCTGCAAATCACACTTGACTAATTGCTTTAGAATATAAGCTTCCTCTTATAAACTTCAAGAAAAGCAGCTTTCACGCACGCGGCTGTTTTAGCAATTGCTCATACGTGTACTGTTTAAAGCAGTTATTAATAAAGGTTCTGCTACGACTGCACTAATTCTCTAAGATGGTTTACATTTTTTATATATTGCAAAATAATATAAATATACCTAAATCAAATGTAACAAGAAATTTTGAAATAATAACTTAATTATTATTTAGTATTTGGTATCTTATTATTACAAATTATTATTTAGTGTAAGCTAACTAAGGATTTTGCTACGACTGTAGTATCTTAACTAAGGATTTTGTTACGACTGTATAGTTATCTTAACTAAGGATTTTGCTACGACTGTATAGTTATCTTAACTAAGGATTTTGCTACGACTGTATAGTTATCTTAACTAAGGATTTTGCTACGACTGTATAGTTATCTTAAATAAGGATTTTGCTGCGACTGTAATTAATTGCCGCTACAACGTCGCTGCTTTGAACAAGTCTTCACTTGGTCCTACACGCAGCATTGAGCCGCCCGGCTTAGGCCGGTCGAATCCCATGGGAATAATCACGAGGTCTTCGTCTATCTCGTCACGCCGGTTATTGCGGGCGTCTTTGTTTCCTGAGACATGAAATTTTGAAAACATTTCAATAGTGAAAGTTTTATTTTGTGTAGTTTTACCAGTTGAGCTACTTTAATGCAGGAAACTTTTGTCGGGAGTTGCTTTTTAGGATTCATGTTGGTTAGTTAGTAGAATTTTTTAGATTGGAAATTTGAAAAATTCTTTATTTTAATGTCCAAGTTTTGCACAAGACTGGGCCGTTTTTTTAGTATTCTGAAGGAGACTTCGTTTCTTTAACTCCGATGTCGAGTAATGAAATAATTTAAAAATCTAAATTGCGGTAAGAAATTTATTAACCAATATAGAATACGATTTTTCTTAAATACTGTTCATTAAATACTATGAAATATGTAGATACTGTTAACCCTGAGGTCGGTTATATCTTTGAATTTTGCGTTGCAGGAACCTGAAAATTTTAACCTTCATTTTCTCTTTAAAAAAGATTATATTCTAATCCCTCATACTTAGATAACCGACATGGGAATTCATGCCTACAGTTTCAGCAAAATGTTATTGTGATAGGAAAGTTTTTTTTTGCTCAAAATATAATTGGTCTACAGGGACTTGCAGGTATACTGTATGGCTCCGATTAACACAGGTGTGCTGTTTAAGCCTACGTAATTCGTCAACGCTGACGTCGCTGTTTTTCAGAATTGTGGTCAGAAGTGAAATCAAAACGCAGTGGAAAGAAATCTTGTGAAACAAATGTGAAATATAATCTCTTTGTTTGTGTATCTTACCTGAAAACACACACACTAACACACACATACAGGCATAGCCACATCCTCTAACCTGCACACCGCTTATCAAGCACTGAATTCTCGACTCGACCGCATGCTATGAAATTGAGACAAAGAATCTTCACGTAAATGTTATCAAGCAATTTTCTACTTTATGTTTGTGAGTGTGTTTGCTTGTATAGAGCGTTTCCGATACGTATTTATAGAACCAGAAATTGTTTGGAAGATAACTTTTCATTTTTTATTGATTAGGTAGAATTTGTGTTTCAAATGTAAAATAATTCTATTTCCTTCAGCTTCGTCACGAGAGTTGAACGACAATTCTGTGTTGATCAAGAATTTGAGAGCGCCTCTCTCATCACAAACAAAATCATTATTTCTGTAATTAGCTATTAACGGGATTTCAGATTCCGGGATTCTGGAATACCCGGATTCTAGAATCTATGTGATAATTTATCACGGGCCAAGTTTGGTAATCAACTTGGCAGAGTATTATCTTTCAAATATTTTTTAAATAGATTAATTTGTTTTCTACTCACTTCTATCTCCATTGGCAGGAATCTTCAATGATAGTTGAACTATCGAACTGAAAATGGTCCTTTCTTAATTTCAGAAGGATTTGTAAATTCTTATATACACACGAGAACTGACAGTTGTAATATATCAATCCGTATAATGTGGGCAACTTTCCAAACTAGTCTCCTTCAACATTAATCACCATTGCTCTAATTATTCTACTTTTACCAAATAATTGTGGTAGCGCATGAATAATTTCCAGTAAAAAACGTAAATTTTTAATCCCATATGATAACAGCCGCTCGTGTCGCACCTGTTTTCCACGGGTAACAAAATCTCCACTCCTGGGTTCTTTAATAATAATGGAATTGGTAGCCGGCATAATCGCGTCATTCTCAATAATAGTGAAGTCTGAGAATAGGACATTGTAGCTGCACAATGTGCTTCACTTTCTCTGCACAATATGCTTCACTTGCTCGGCACAATGTGCCCAGCACAATAAGATCGGGTGTGCAGATCTGGCAGCTCATACGGCGAGTGATATCGAGCGATTTACTGGAAGCGATATTACTCGATTTCCATTATAATTTCCATGGAAATCAGACGCGGGCTCCTTTCAAGGGTGAATTTCTTGAATGGAAAATGCCATGGAAAAAGTTTCGAGAAAGGAGGGAGCTCACGCGATGGCGTTAAGCCAAACGCCTCTTGTGTGGCCTAAAAAAAGCAAAGGAAATTTTCCAAGCTCGAACCAATGACGAAAACAAGCTAAGGAATTCCTTTACTGGGAGTTAGCAAGAGCCAAAGAAAGCCTTTTGTTAAGGAATGGAAGGCGGCGCAGGTTCTTATCCCGCCCATGGCATCAGCTCTATTCTCTCCATTGGTTTACAAACAAAGGACAGCAATGGACCTTTTGTGACGTCATTTAGACCTTTTGAATCCATCCAATAGGCGGAGTTAATAGCCAATAGGAGGGAGCTGCTTGTGTGACGTCACATGGGCTACTGTAAAGCTCTATTGTCATTGGTCGAGAAGGTCAGCTCGGTTCAAGTTTTATAAGCAATGCTTCTTTACAGAGCGTTGGTCATTCGAGCTTTAGTGAGCAACTGAGAGTGTCACTAGGTTTTGTATTCTCTTTCTTTAGTGAAGCCATTGCGAGTGAATAACAAAAACACTATACGTTGTTTCCTGAAAATATACATATATATATATATGAACTTCAGTGTGACTAAACTAGAAGTTTATTACAACTTCAATTGTTTGTGAGTTAGTGACAAGCAGGCCCGGGAGCTACGAGAAGAAAATTTAACCATAGCATCACACAGCAAGTAAGTGTACTTATACTATATACTTGTACTTATAAGTGTACTATTACTGTGTTGAGGAGATTAAGGTTTTTAAAGATGTTATTCTATTGCAACCTCTAGTCAAACAATAACTTTAACCGTTGTCAATGCTATTCCTTAAAGATGGTTTTGTAACAAGTGCTACGTTATAGTATGAAATTTTAATCCTTTGTTACAATTTATTAACTCCGTTCAATTCTACTCGTACTCGGAGGCCGATTAACGAAAGTTGCTCGTTTTTAGACGCCGGTTAAACTTAACATACACAACGCAGGTTGCAACTTGAACCTATATCGTGCAAATACGAAATTTAAACTCAAACGGTAAACGAACTTGCCGAAACGAGAAATTGCTTGACGAAACGAAATTGACGAAACGATTAACTACTTTGCAGCGAAAATAAATTTTAATAATTTCTAACGACCGTAAAATATTGCTTGACCTACTTAATAGTCCAGGATTCTACGATTTTAAATTTTTGATAGCAAAAGTGAAAGTGTTCGACCTTTTGGAATAATAATATTAGATAATAACAAATAATTATTGTTATTATATTAATATTAATTAATTTTCTATCACCTACATAACGTCTATCAATTGACATTGAGGCCTCACTCGCCTCAACTTCATTTATGCTTCAGTCATCAATAAATAAATAATTGTTGATAATGAATATGATTAGTTGTAACTCGTTATAATTTTCATTCATTTATAGCCATTTCGCTATTAAACTTGTATTGCTCAATATACGTCGATATTCCATCTATAACAATAACGTTTATAGAACTGCTTGAAAATCACAATAGTTGCACGTTACTAGTGACCTCATCTTAGTAACTGTAACGGTTACTTGTGATGGTAATGGTTATACTTGTGACGGTTACGGAGATATGGCAACGGTCGACACTAATTGTAACGGCCACTGTAATGGGTAATGAGATTTGGCAACGGTAACTTGTGATAATAATGGTAATTGGGAGCGAGATCTGTCAATGGTAACTTGTGATGGTAATTGGTAACTAAATATGGCAATTGATAACTAAATATGGTAATTGGTAACTAAATATGGTAATTGGTAACTAAATATGGTAATTGGTAACTAAATATGGTAATTTGTAACTAAATATGGTAATCGGTCTCTAAATATGGTAATTGGTAGTTAGATCTGATAATGGGTAGTGAGATCTGGTAACTGTAACTTGTGATGGTAATTGATGATGAGATCTGGTAACGGTAACTTGTGATGGTTATTAGTAACGAGATATGGTAATCGGTAGAGAAATCTGGTAGCGGTAACTTGATATGGTAATTGGTAACGAGATATGGTAATTGGTAGTGAGATCTTGTAACGGTAACTGAAGATGGTAATTGGTAACGAGATATGGTAATCGGTAGTGAGATCTGGTAACGGTAACTTGATATGGTAATTGGTAACGAGATATGGTAATTGGTAGTGAAATCTGGTAACGGTAACTTGATATGGTAATTGGCAACGAGATATGGTAATTGGTAGTGAGATCTGGTAACGGTAACTTCTTTTGGTAATTGGGTACGAGATATGGTAATTGTTAACGAGATCTGGTTACGGTAGCTTGTGATGGTAATTGGTAACAGTAGCTTGTGATGGTAATTGTTAACGGTAACTTGCGATGGTAATTGTTAACGGTAACATGTGATGGTAATTGTTAACGGTAACTTGCGATGGTAATTGTTAACGGTAACTTGCGATGGTAATAGGTAACGAGATATGGTAATTGGAGATTTGGCAACCGTCGAGGCCACGTTGCCGCTCTTGCTATCAACTGCTGCGCGCCCTGTTTATTTGGCGGGAAAATGAGGGCAAAAATCTACGGTGTTTGCTCCTAATATTTCAGTTACTTTCTTTGTTGCCTTCCTCGGGCACCGCAAAAATAACGGCTTTATTCGACAATTTATTATACTATATCTTTCCTTAATTTTTTTGCTGCTGTTTGCGTAGATTAATATTGTAACAATATGAGTGATCTTTATAAAATTTATAATTATAGAGGGTTTACCAACTGTTTAAATGACAAATACAGTGTTAAATAAAGGCGAAATTGGGGTTTGCGGATAACATTTTCTTTTTTATAATGGCTAGAATAACATGGATATATCTTGTTAATTATGGTATCGTGGGATAATATTAGCAAGAATTAGTTTTTTGGATATGTGTTCTTCATTTATAAAATTCTAATGGATGCATAACTTTAAACGCTCGGGAACTCTCGAAGTGATAATGACAGATGAAAATACATATGATTATTTTAATGAGCTTATCGGCTTTTTTCTCTTAGTCATCACTGCATCTAAAATGCTGTCTTGGCGTCATATGTTCATTTACGTTTAGTTGCATAATTTATTTGCGCTTTAAATTGGTCCACTTAAGGTTATAGTGAAAAATTAGTGAAAGACGCCAGCTGGACCTGTTATGAATGATGATCGTTCACTTTTCCGAAGCTAGTTTTAACTATTATAATTTGATCATTTCTATTTTAATATTTCAGTATAAATACAGTGAAGTATTAATATTATTAATAGGTTAAACACAATTTATCAATAGATATAATGCCTCCTGTCAATAGTCTGGTTATTTTCGGCCTTTCGACTGTTGAAGTTAATGGCAAAAGAATTATTCGATATTTTAAAGAAAAGTTGCAGGCTCAATAATGATCATTTGACTTACTCGGCATTTATCTTGTTAGCCCATTTCTAATTTTCTCAGTTTGTTTTGATAGTGTTCTTCACTTAATTAATAGTCTTACTTATGAACTAATAGTCTTATTTATGAACTAAACAGCTGGTTCTTTCGAGAATGACGTTTCGTGAGGTAGAATATTTGGATAAGAGTTAGTCGAATATTGGAAGTCAAGTAGCCGAAAGAGAGATTTCAATGTATATACTATACCTCATGCAAAGTTTGCATTTATAGTCACAAATGACTTAGCTTGTTAATATCCTTTTAATAGACGACAATTTACGATCACTAATGGCTCTTATGAAGTGGTCGCCACGTGTTAACTGCAGCAGCGTGTGCGCTACTGCAATATTTCACTTCATGAACATCATTATATTTTACAATAACCCTAATTTTACAATTACCTAATATTTTACAAGTACCTAATTACTAACGAATTCTTCCTTTACGCAGATAAAATGGATCCTCTAAGCTACTCCCAATACTACAACGACAGCATGGCAGCACATAATGCTGCATCACTATCATCACATCCTCACCTCTCTCACGCTCAGCACCACGCATCATTACTGCAGCACCAACCTCATCACATGCAGCAGCTGCAGCAGCACCATCAGCACCTACAACAGCACCAACAGACTAATTCACTATTACATCACCAACATCAGCAGCATCATCTTTCTGATAGTGATGAATCCGGAATCGGCAGTTCACACAGCCCTAATTTACAAGACAACAAATCACCATTGCACAGAACACAGCAACACAATCTGGACTCTAACTCCCTCCACATGTCATCATCAGATCACAATTCATCCAACATGCACCACACCATCACCCACCACCACGAAGCTACCACACCAGGAGCTTCACCAACCGATGGTTCAACACATAACCCACATACGGTAACGGAACATCTGGTGTCCGGCCACCACAACCAACAAAGAATGAACTCAGTCGTCCACCACCACAACCAACTCACCAGCAATATCAGTGAGACGGTGAGTCATGGTATGGTTGTGCGCACGTATAGCAATATTTAAATTAGGCAGGAAACTTGCCTTCTATTTAGGCGATTTGATTGCCTTCAATTTAGGTGCTTAAACCGCCTTCAATTTAGGCTTGTGAATTGCCATTAAACAAGACATGAAATTGCATTGAACTTGGGTACCTAAATTGCCTTTGAATCAGGCACGTACATTGCCTTTAAATCGTATTCTATCTTCCTTGTTTAACCGAGTTTTCGTCATTAAACTGTCATAAACCATTATCATCGTTATGTCTTTATCAAATAAAGTCAACGACCAGAGCAAGTAGTACCAATTAAGTACCGAGAGGTTCATCAACTTGTTCTACATGATTGCTTAACAAATTGCAAATTATATATTTAACACGTGATTGCCTTATTATTTTTGACGCGATGAAAGTCATATCTTGGTTATCAATGAATCTATTGTATTTACTGCAATTCATCCTGTGACAAATGCCTGCGAACTCATTGATAATTTTATTAGATTATGTATTTCATACCCCATCAATGCAATAAAAAAAACTATACCCCTCTTCCCCCATTAACTTAAATAATTGTTTGACTCCATAATTAATACCCCATATATTTAACCAGAAATTTTCAATGCTACCCTCTTTAATTAAATCATTGTATAACTCGGTATTTTATTCCCAATTAATTTAACCATTAAATTCTCCCCCCCTGCCCCAAATACCCTATAAATTCAACCAGAAAATTTCAATGCTACCCTCTTTAATTAAATCATTGCCTAACTCGGTATTTTATTCCCAATCAATTTAACCAATAAATTCTCCCCCGGCCCCAAATACCCCATAAATTCAACCAGAAAATTTCAATGCTACCCTCTTGAATTATTTGAATTAATTGTCTAACTCGGTATTTTATACTCAATAAATTTAACCTTAAATTCTTCCCCCAGCCTCAAATACCCCATAAATTTAACCATTAAATTCTTCCCCCAGCCCCAAGCACCCCCCGTCGTGACCCCCATGTCCACCCCCTCTCCCGCGGACTCGGTGACCTCGGAGAGCTGCACGTCAGGGGCCACTAAGAAGGACGGTAGTAAGGCTGCTGAAGATCACGTCAAGCGGCCCATGAACGCCTTCATGGTCTGGTCGCGCATGCAGCGCCGCAAGATCGCGCACGACAATCCTAAGATGCACAACTCCGAGATCTCTAAGCGACTGGGTCAGTAAATGGCCATATATTGCCGTCAAAATTATGGATTAATGGGTATAAAATGCCGTATTAATTATGGCTGAATTAATGGGGATAAATCATCTTATTTGTGGTTAGTTAATGAGTTTAAATTGCCGTCGCAATTATGGATTACGGTACTGGGTTTAAAATGCCGTCTTAATTATGGCTGAATTAATGGGAACAAATCATCTTATTTATGGTTAGTTAATAGGTTTATATTGCTTTCGCAATTATGCATAATTGCTGGGTATAAAATGCCGTATTAATTATGGCTGAATTAATGGGAATAAATAATCTTATTTATGGTTAGTTGTTGGGTTTTAATTGCCATCGCAATCATGGCTCAGTTATGCAATAAGAATAAATCGTCGTCTCAATTATGGGTTAGTTAATGGTTTTAAATTGTCCTCTTAATTGTGGGTTACTGAGCATAACTTGCCGTCCCAATTATAGGTCACTTCTCTTACTTTCTTTTGCCTCTTAATTAATGCTGTTATGCGTCACTTACGCCTTTTTATTAATAGCCTTCAGTGTTGAAGTGTTGATGCACTGCTCCTGATAAAGCCTTAATAGTGGGCTTTTTAAATCATGTTTTATCTGCTGCGTCTTTTTAAAGCATGGCTTATTCTCCAATTAAATTGCTCCTGCCATTGAGTTGCTGAAAATAAAGTACATTGAATTACGTAACAACATAATGCAATTCTAATTTTTTCCGCAATGTCATTTCGACAACTGATTTCCATGGAATTAAATTTCATCAGTCAATCAGTCAAAATATTTTTCATCAACCATAAATTAACATATTGATCAGATGGGATATTTTTAGCGCATTTTCTTATTTATGGAAAAAATGCCCTATTTTGCTCGCCTCGTCCGTCCGTCTGTCCGCCGTGACTTCACGTTTTCCACGACAAGAAAATGCGCTCTCTGTCACTCATTGCACTGAGTACTGAGTTATATTTTCATATTATTTACGTTGTTTCTATTCGTCATCGCCAGGTGCGCAGTGGAAACTATTGAGCGACGAAGAGAAGCGTCCTTTCATCGACGAGGCGAAGAGGATACGCGCCCAACATATGAAGGATTATCCAGACTACAAATACCGACCTCGGCGCAAACCTAAATCCATGAAGAAGGATGGATATCCTTACAGCATCCCTTACAGCTCCGTGGACGCCCTCAGAACTGGTGAGTAGGATATTGTATAAGATTGATATCCTTACAGCATCCCTTACAGCTCCGTGGATGCCCTCANACCGTGATGAACCGGAGTGTGAGCCGTGAGCCATAATGAGCCAGAGTCTGAGAGCTGTCTCTTATACACATCTAGATGTGTATAAGAGACAGCCTTACAGCATCCCATACAGCTCCGTGGATGCCCTCAGAACTGGTGAGCAGGATATTGTAAAAGATTGATATCCTTACAGCATCCCATACAGCTCCGTGGACGCCCTCAGAACTGGTGAGTAGGATATTGTGTAAGATTGATATCCTTACAGCTTTTAGTTTTTATTTATGCAAAGGCAGCGAAAACAGGCAAATTTTCGGTTTTCTAGTTCACTTGCAGCAGCAAAATCATTTTCTAAGGACACGAAGATTGATTTTTATCCAGTTCACTTATCGTGATCTTGAAAATTTTAAAATGAATTATTTCTTAATACCTGCAGTCGCTACTAGCTCTCATTTTCTAACCCACGTTGCATGCGTTTAGGCACTGAACAAATGCCAACAATTATGCGTGAATTTCAAGCATCGTTTCTACTCACATTTGGTACTAACTGAGAGTAGTTTATGGCCACCGATACGCCGGTGTAAATTAACAACAGTGAACTCCAGCAAAGGCCCCAGCAAGTATCCTACAAACTTGCTTTCAACTTCGCGTGAGACAAAACCCAACTTGAGCAACCTTCCTGATCGCTCAAGTTTGGAGCGCTCTTGCCCAACTTGACTTGGTACCTCAACTTGGTGGAACTTAATTCAACTTGATGGAACTTGACTCATCTTGATGGAACTCGACTTATCTTGATGGTGTTCGACTCATATTGTTCGCTCGCGATATTATTCAACACAGACTCGCACATTCTATGTTGAGATCGAATACTTAATTGACTGCCCTTCCTATGTTATTTGTGAGGTCAAAATTACTTAGGCCTCCCGCAACTACTTTACCAAACTTGACATAAACTTGATTAAAACTCGACTGGTCTCGATATTACTTTACATTACATGACTGAAACTTGAATAGGGTCTCGACATTAACTGATTAAAATTTTAATAAGGTCTCGACATTATTTAACTGAAATTTTAATTAGGTCTCGACATTAGTTGACTGAAATTTTAATAAGGTCTCGACATTATTTAACTGATATTTTAATAAGGTCTCGACATTAGTTGACTGAAATTTTAATAAGGTCTCGACATTATTTGGCTGAAACTTTAATAAGGTCTCGACATTACTTGACTGAAACTTTAATAAGGTCTCGACATTACTTGACTGAAACTTTAATAAGGCCTCGACATTACTTGACTGAAACTTTAATAAGGTCTCGACATTATTTGACAGAAACTTTAATAAGGTCTCGACATTACTTGACTGAAACTTGACAGAGGTTTCGACTGGAGGTCTCGTCACATTATCTCGAGCAGCAGCTCGCTCTCGCCACGGCGCTATCTCTGCAAATCACTTCGCTATTTCCGTCTATCCTGTTTCAATTTGCACGCCACAAAAGATAGACTCCCTCTTGCGTTTTCCGCGGCTCTGAATATCAAATAGAACTCAGATCAGGACCGCATGGCTTCATTGCCACAATCGCGGACCAGGGGGAAGCGACGACGTTCCATTTTAATTGAGTTTAAAGTGACAATAGACCGAGAGTTTAGGGATAAAACCGCTAGTTTATGAGTTACTTTAAAACCTTTAAAACCTTCCCCCAATAGGGTGAGGCATCGAATAGATTAGCTAGGCAATTATTACGCCTCACTGGATGGGGAAATTACCTAGATGCTTGTCGCTTGTGTTTTGGGGAAACTTGTGTTTGGAGCGTCTTGGGGAAACTTGTGTTTGGGGCGTCTTGGGGAAACTTGTGTTTGGGGCGTCTTGGGGAAACTTGTGTTTGGGGCGTCTTGGGGAAACTGGTGTTTGGGGCGTCTTGGGAAACATGTGTTTGGGGCGTCATGGGAAAACTTGTGTTTGGAGCATCTTGGGGAAACTTGTGTTTGGTGCATCTTGGGGAAACTTGTGTTTTGGGCGTCTTGGGGAAACTTGTGTTTGGAGCGTCTTGGGGAAACTTGTGTTTGGGGCGTCTTGGGGAAACTTGTGTTTGGAGCGTCTTGGGGAAACTTGTGTTTGGGGCGTCTTGGGGAAACTGGTGTTTAAATAAAAGACAAAATACCACACCGATTACTTGCAACTTAAAGAATTAAACTATTTAATTTCCAGCCGATTTCAGTGGTTGCCCAGTGCAGTGGTTACCCAAACTTACCATAAGTTATTGCTTGAATTCAATTTTTAACATTATAAATATTCTTGGTCTTTTCTTCGTACTCTTCTTACATATATTATCCGTAAAATATCCCTTTATTGTATTTTATGAACTCTAGCGTTATCAGAATCAGCCTTTTGTTTCTAGCGTATTCTATTCATATCGTCTAATTATCATAAATATATTGTAACTGACGAATCATTAAAATTTACCATAATTCCAATGACAAATCGTGTTCTGCCAAATTGTCATTTCCGGCGTTATTGTTTTTAATTGTTATTATATTTCTGAAAGTTTTGAAATTTTATCTACATTATTGTTCTGAAAATCATAATGAAGATAATATCCTGCTTTGTTTATTATGTGATGTCATAGACATTAGAACATCATTTGCAGTGTGATGACATCGTTGAATTTTAAAGTGATGACATCGTTGAATTTAAGAGTGATGACATTGGTGAATTTAAAAGTGATGACATCGTTGAATTTAAGAGCGATGACATCGTTGAATTTAAGAGTGAGGACATCGTTGAATTTAAGAGTGATGACATCGGTGAATTTTAAAGTGATGACATCGTTGAATGTAAAAGTGATGACATCGTTGAATGTAAAAGTGATGACATCAGTGAATTTAAAAGTGATGACATCGTTGAATTTAAAAGTGATGACATCAGTGAATTTAAAAGTGATGACATCGTTGAATTTAAAAGTGATGACATCAGTGAATTTAAAAGTGATGACATCGTTGAATTTAAAAGTGATGACATCAGTGAATTTAAAAGTGATGACATCGTTGAATTTAAAAGTGATGACATCAGTGAATTTAAAAGTGATGACATCGTTGAATTTAAAAGTGATGACATCAGTGAATTTAAAAGTGATGACATCGTTGAATTTAGAAATGATGACATCAGTGAATTTAAAAGTGATGACATCGTTGAATTTAAAAGTGATGACATCGGTGAATTTTAAAAGTAATCACATTGGTGAATTTACAAATGATAACATCGTTGAATTTAAAAGTGATTATATTGTTGAATTTGAAAGTGATGACTTAAAAGTGATGGCATCGTTGAATTTTAAAGTGATGACATCGTTGAATTTACAAGTGATAACATCGTTGAATTTAGAAGTGATTATATTGTTGAATTTGAAAGTGATGACTTAAGAGTGATGACATCGTTGAATTTAAGAAAAATTACATCGCCGACTTTTAACAGGCGCCAGTTCTGCATGTGTGATGATGGGGGAGTGGGGGTGGTGGCCAAATTTTAATATTATAATAAAGTTACTTTTAACATTATAATATATTATATAATATAGTACATGTTGGTAGGAGGGGGAAATGTGTTAATTTTTAAAATAAAAAAGAGAGGGAGGCTAACTGCATATATGGAAGATGGAGAAGAGATGGGGGATGGAAGGGGGGGGGTTTAAGTAG